CGTTCTTTTTTCATTTCTACTAGTTAATGGTCAAACTGGTATAAATAAATACGAACGCAATTTTGTGGGATTTTCTCTCTCTTTTTTGGTAGCTATATATAGAAAAGTTGCATTTCGTCTAAGTAAATATGGAAAAAACCAAATAAAAGTATTTCTTCTGCATTTTCATCATACTTGGAAAAATGGAGAAATTTCACTATGTTTTTCGTTTATTTTTCGCATATATTTAACTTATGAATGTCGCAATGCTATTGGTCTAAATAGAGAGCTTTCGATATGAGGAACGAGAAAAAAATGATAACCTGTATTTTCAAACATTTGCTGCTCACACTAAAAAGCTAAAAAAATGCACCTTTTCTTATAAAATTAGCAATATTTCTTAATCTTATTTGATTTTGCCTTTCCACCTTAAATAAATAATTGTAAATACTATACCGTTCGAATTCATTGGGATGAACAAGTTTTTCTTGTTTGAGTTGGTATTTGATTACTAGTGATGTCCCGAACCACCTCTAACCCGTTATATCTGCCTTTAGGTAGTGTGACAGATAGACGTTAACTATAATTTATCCGTTTTAGTGTATCAGGAGCTCAGTTGTGAGCCTTTCAGTGGGGCAGGTGGTAATTTCAATTTTGCGTTCCGTATAAGACGTGTTACTTTTCCTTGTTCAAAGATTGATATTACTCCGATGAAACGTTCTAAAATAAATCGCTCTTAGTGAACATATTTCTATGAATGTGAGAAACATAGCCATGTCAGTTGGTTTTGTTAAATTAAGTGTTTCAAGAATTTTGAGAACATTTCAAAATTCTGTGTGTTGATCATCGTCTCCAAAAACAAAAAAAATGAGGGCGCAATTGGAAAGCTACACCAAGAATTGATAAAATGTTAATGAAAAATTGCAAAATAAATCCAAGCTATTTCAAGGGATTTATTGGATAATAGTGCTAAAGTGAGTACCTTAAATATACGAGAAATGCTTCTGGAAGGTGGCCTTGGAGCGCAACAAGAGTGAGAAAAAAATAGTTCTTCCTTCGCTAACACTATCAAGGTCCTTTTATTACCTTCGGAATAATTTTATGCACAACAGTGCACAATAAAAGATCGTACCTCGGTAACAAGTATATATATCGTACATTCAGGACAATTAATGTTTATATACACTTGTGGCGAGACATTTATACACACCGGTTGTTCTTAAGAGGTTAGAGTCATATTGTAATCTACGCGTCAAAGTACTCCGTCATTGAATTCTATGCATTTTTATTCTATGGAGAGAGGCGTGATGAAAATTATGATTAAATATTGGGGTGGGGTGGGGGGCAAGTATTGAAATTTTGAGAAGCACTGTTATAATGAGCCAAAAATAGTTGTACACGAATTTTCAGGAGTCAAGAATCTTTCTTAGAAATCTAGAAAGGGAACTGTAAAATTCAACTGAACATATATTAATTATTAGTGCATTTCCCTAAAACAGAATATAAATTAGCAAAATAAAATGGTACATTCTTGAATAAAGTGTTTAACGCCAGCTCTGTATTACTCTAACGTACTCCGGAAATGCTTATAAAAATTTGCAAAAAATATCCTTATACAACAGCGATAACATTACGCAGATGCGTAATGCAACAAAAAGCAAAAATATGTTACCGAAAAGAAAATACTCATAAAATAAACATGATTTAATTTCCTCAGTGAAGTTAATTGTAATTAATTTTTGAAACATGAAGTAAGTTTATTTTGAAAAGAGACATTTGTATGCACATATTTGATTAATCTCAATGAATGCAATTAAGAATTGAAACGCTGGAAATGAAGTTGTCTTTCTTCATTGCAAAGGAAGTTTTTATTTCCCACGAGCTTTTATTCTAAACTAATATGAGTGCTCTCTCTCTCTCTGTATCTTTTTAAATTAACTTTTCATTTCCACCGTGTATTTGTCAAACTGTCATAATTAATTTAGAAGACTTTGGACTTCCAAAGATTACTTTTTACTTATTTTCTGGAAAATAATCAAAGGCAATATTTTCTGTCTTTACGATAGAGGCATTGTTCCAGGAATATAGAGCATCAAAACATCATTGGAATCTCAGTTGGTAATTGAGCGATTTGGTTAAGGTTATTTTCGATTCAATTAAATTTTCTTGTAGTTCTGGTATATAAATGTATTTTTGTTTTGGAAGAACAATGACTTGCATAAATTAATATAAATTAGAAGCATTATTAAGAAGACTATACCTCTAAATAGGAACTTAAATTTTTATTAACACGTTCAGGTCCGGGTGTCTTTTCATTTTAAGTATAACTCCATTTTGAAACACATATAAAATCAGTACTGTGTTAAAACACGCCGTAGTTTATAGTTTATAGCCTTTTCAAATTCGATAAGCTCTAAATTCAGATCATGCTGGTGTGATCAAAGGTTTGAGAAAGAGCACAATGCGTTCTGAAATATGATACCAAGTTTCCTGAAGGGATCACATGTATGTGATCATAATCCTGAACGGGATATATGCATGGACTTTATCTGATGAATATTTTTGTAAACACTGCATTGTATTTGATTACCCACTAATGATATTATTTTTTAAATGCAGATGCATAAAAAAGTACTTTAAAAGCAAATTACTATTTTTTCAAAACGAAAAAGGTTTTTTAAAAAATTTTTCTTAAAATATATACACCATTTTTTAATAGAAATTTCCATTTTTGTATCTTATATTGTAAAGTCACGAGCGAATCAGTACTATAATTACTTTTATGGAAATCTATAGGTATTGTTATTTATACATATTAAACATCTGCTTAAATAAAAATTGAGATTTGTGCAGCATTGATTTAGACCTCTTGCTGCGCCCCCCGCAATTTCCTCTGGCAACGTAGATGTAGCAAAATTTGTGCAAACCGCAATTGCCATTGGTTTGTTTTTTTCCGACTATTTAGCTGTGTAACCATGCTGTTTCTATTTATGTTTCTATGTTCATATTTTTATGATCTAGTTCTATATTTTAACATTAAATGTCTTTTATAAAAATTGTTCGTATATTTTAACTCTAAAATGTAGATTTAATATGTAGATTCGAAATACGTAATGAAACCTTGCGCAATTTTTGAACCTACTTTGATAAGATATCTAAGCCGCGAGAGAGTTAACAAGTTGTCGGAAATGCTCTGAAGAAATATCCAGCTGTAACTGCGAAAGCATTTCCTCTGTAGAACTTTTTTGCATGAAATGTTCTTTCGACAAACTCTCATTTGTATTTGTTGAGATTTATACCTGGTGATATAGGTGACCAAATAATTTTCTCGAATAGTCCACAACGTTCCATCAACCAATTTTGAATGATTTTGGTCTTTTGAAATGATGAGAGAACACAGTAATAGTGTGGAAAATGTCATCCTAGTTTGGATACTTGTAACCCATGAAAAGCAGATATTGATTACATAATCATTTCCAGAAATGCCGAATAGTCATGGTCGCGATCTCGTTACCGACGCTTTTTTAACTTTAGGTTTGAACCACTGAAGACACGTCGCGAGTAATTTAAATCGGTTAGGGCTCAAGGTCCTCCTGTTGGAATGGAAATTAGGAGAGAGTTTACCAAATTTGATGTGATTCTCCTCACTTGACATTAGTTCAATATATCACGAAGTCCGCCTCTAATATCCATCATATTGCTTTGCAATGCAAAGAAAATTAAAATCAAGACAAATCTAATGAAATTCATATTGATTCCACTGAAATTTCTGGAAAAAATATTAACAGCAGCGATGTATCAATACATTGCTAAAAGACAAGATACTTCCAAAGTTAGGCATTACATTACACCATTGACTACAGGAAAGCATGCACAACTATTTCAGCAAGAGTTGTAAAATACAGTTTGAATGTAAAAACTGCAACTATTCAAATTCGAATGAGTTAGTCGAAAAAAAACGAAAGAAAGAAATCGACCAAAACAAACGCAAAGAAAAGTAATCAGCTGAAAAGAAAAGGAAAAAAAGGAAATCAATTCTTAACTGTTAAAAAATGGAACTTATTTCACAAATACCCTAGCAATAGCAGTAAAATAAATTCAAAAATTAAATACGTGTGATCTATTTAATCACCATAATAGACTTCCCATTTTATACTTTATCTCTCCCGAGAATTATTACACAAAATAAACCCAACGCATCGTACGAATCCTTCACTTTTTTCCCAACCGTCGATGATTGAGGACTGCTCACTTTTCACTCCTCCCTATGGGCTAGAAGATTTGGTAACGTCACGAAAAATCCCCGCCATATCACATATCTTCGATAAGTCGTGATTTCTTGCAAACACGTCAAATCCCATGTGAAGTCTGGGAGAAACGTGCGCCTCATTTAATGCTCATTCTATTTTCTTTTATCTATTTCTGATATTTACTGGACAGATGCTGCCACCGGGTTGACATTTTTTCCGATATTTTTGATTGGAAGATGAGATGGGGAACTGTTGTGATGTTTGGCTGTTCCTTGGTTTGAGAATTGAGCCTTGTGTTTCGATAACTTTGATCTCGGGTTAAACAGTGATCTCTTTCTTTCGGCATCAAATTTCTTGTAAAGATGAACGTGATCTGCGATTAACCGTAACTTTAATTATTTCAATTCAATTCCTACTATTAGTTCACTCTCTTTCTCTGTCTTTCTCTCTGTGTGTGTATATATAAAAAGAGAGAGAGAGTAAATTAATAGAGTAGGAATTGAATTGAATAAGATATATATATATCTTATTCAAATTTTCAATCGTTAATAAAATACTTTTCATCTATCCGCTCAAGTTCAAATACATTTTTTTAAACTTGTAGTATATGACACTAAATTTTCAAATAGTAAAATTTAATAAAAATTCAAATAGATTCAAATAGATTTCAAATAGTAATTCATTAATTAAACTTAAAAAATGAATAGATAATAATCAACACACATAAATAAGAGTTCAATAGCATTTATTAAAAGGGAAATCGCTCGCTGTGTCCCTGTGGCGCAATGAATAACGAGTTGGACTTCTGATCCGAAAGTTGTGAGTTTGAATTTCACCTGGGATGGCCAAATTTCTCAGAATGTGATTTCGTTTTACTATACTATTTTATTAGAATTATTAAATTTAATGGCTGAATAAATAGTAACAAACAAAAACAATAGTTCACCATCCTATATAGAAAGTAGAATGGAAAATTGCAAGGAAAATCGCTTTCTATTGTGTCACTAAATATTGTGATTATGTTTTATGTATTTATATTTATAATAATTGTAATTATTAAATAAAAAATAACAAAAATAAGTTTTCTTTGTTGACCTATATAAGTAACAATTGACTTTTTTATATTATTTTTTTAAACTGAAAATCTTAGAACTAAGAAAAGTGGGAATTTTATAATATCATTAAATACTGGGGCGAAATTTGAAAGTAGTTAATGTTCGCATTAACTAATTTATATGAATAATCGATAACTACACCTGACTTGTTCGTTTAAAATGTTGAACCATTTACCAAGTTACCGAGTCAGCCATCAGCTTGTTCATTCTTTACATAATAGATTGTCCATTGATCGACTCTTATCAACTTGATTCCATAGGTTTATGAAAATAAATAAATAACTGTATATATTTAAAAAATGGCAATATAACTTTTTTTAATCCACTTAATATCATATGCTGTCATTGCCTACTTCCCCACTTGTGAATTTCGGACTATAATTTAGGATCTTGATCTATATGAGATTCTCCTTACTCTAGAACAGGTTAAATGTCTCATCATTTGTGTGACTCAAAAGCAACTCTCCAGGAAATTCTAAATGGAGGTTGATGCAATACAGAAAAGATTTGCTCAAGCCTATTTAGGTTACAGGATTTAGATAAAGTCAGCTTTCTCCAATGGTTATCTGCTCATGTTGACATTACAGGCAATGAAAATGCGGATCAACTGGCGAAAGAGGCTATAAATCTTAATAATTACAATTTTGTCAACTTTACCTATTAAACGCAAATGCTGTCGTAAATTTCAAATTGAGAGAGAAGGCCATTCATGTGAAGCATCAAATCTGTAATATAAGTGGAGACGTCCTTATAACAAAAAGATTATTGCTAACTGAGAACAGGTCATCACAGAGGAAAGAAGTTTGATAGGGGTGGTAGAAGAACTAATAGGAATTGTGATAATTGTTTAGATACAGAGCTAATACCTGCTCAAATTTTTGACTGTCCAGCGGCTTTCCAACAAGATATAGGGGTCCTGTTTTCGTCAACAGACCTCTACGTGATTAATTATGAACAGATCCCCAGAACAGGCATCTTAGTCCATGGTACTGTCTGATTAAATCCCGTCATGTAAACGATATCATCATCATCCTTACATGGAAACTCTTAAGGCTGCAAGGGTTTTTCATTTAATAATTTTATGTTAATATACATTAAATAATTTAAGAAATGGCGATATATTTTATAAAATATTACTTGATTATACTATGGAATTGCGAGTATACTATAAAATAAAGTTATCGAAAAACGATTTTTTTTTTTCATTTCATAATATACCTGTATTTCTGAGTGTTTTATTAAATAATTTATTAAAGCACGGAACTCTTTTGCTGCTATTCTTGTTTATATTCTCAATCCAACAGGTACCTGGTAAATAATAGGCAAATTGTCTATAAGTAACGTGCAGATTACTAGGTAGTATAATGACATTGCCCAATTTTCCCTTTTAAAAGACAATACGTAATCATCAGTTCAGAGAATATAAATACATGCGGGAGCATTAAATATGATTCAAATACTTTTTAGTAATTAGTCATGTGTTTTAAATTGTAGTTATAGTCTATCCAGCTACCAGGTGTATGCATTAGTCTTTCCCAGCTCAACTAAGTTATGGTACCAGCGAATAGTGTGTAGCATATTAATTCGACGCATGCGTCATTTTGTTCATCTGACATTAAACTACAAACACACAAAAATTGAGACCGTAAAAAACTAACCTCTTTTTTTTATTATTAAGTGATTTCATGCCTGAAAAATTTTAATATTTATTTAAATTTTGTGAACTTTCATTATTTAATAAAAAAAAACAGTTGAAAGTCATCGTTTGCAGGTAGAAATGTATAGTTAACACGCTACATCGGTTAAAGTATGTGAGACATGGTTTCGACATTTTAAAAATGGTGATTTCATCGTGAAAGACAGAGAGCTCTAGTAGGCCACAAAAGTACGAAAACGAGCAATTACATTAGTTATTGGATGATGACCCAACTCAAATTCAACAGCAAATAGAAAAAGCATTAAATGTGCCACAAAAGACAATCTGCAGACGTTTATGAGCAACGGGAAATATCAATAAATAGGTTAAGAGGTCTCGGTACCCTTTGAGCAAATTTCTTTATTTACGTATTTAAAAATTATATTTTAGCATTTTATACATTGTTTCTACTAACGAAAATGATACCAGATGAAAATTTTCATATATTATTCACACAATTTTAAAAATTTAAATTTTTTGAACAAAATTGGGAAAATTTTAAAATTTTACTCCTTTTGTAAAAATTAACTTTTGATCTAAAATTTTTTTATAATATTTTTATGGATGCTCTAAACAACTTCAGGGATCGATTTTAGAATAACTTCATTCGTTTTCGAGGAAAAAAAATAAAATGTTGATATACAAGCTAAAAAACAACGAATAAGCCAACATGTCTTACATTTTATTTTTTAAAAAAAAAAGTATTCAGTTTATAGCAAAACTGATCCCTAATTTTATTACATGCTTTATTTTTAACACGCAGGAAAAAAATGGAAGTGATTGGTATATAATTGTCGAAGGAGTAGCATTTTGAATGCACTAAGATTTCGAAAAACACAAACTGAGAAAAACCAGTTTAAAGTTTATAATTCTGAAAAAATAATCATTATACGCTTAATTAAACTTAAAATACCACTTTAAGATATTAGTTCTTCGTTTTTCCTTAAAATAATTGCATTTTCATATTTTTTCAACCCACACATTTTTATAAATGATCAACTTTTAGAGAGTTCTAATTGTACAAGAAAATTCAAGAAAAACGTTAAAAAATTTTTTTTTCTGTCACGACAGAAATTTTAGCTGTTTTTTTCCTTATAATATTAAAGTATTACATTTGTATGAAAAATATATCAGGAACAAGAACTGAAATTATAAAATTTTTAATATAAAATGCCTTAATTTAAAAAATTTACATGCACACATTTTACAAAGAAAAAAAAATGATTGTATGCATTGCCTCGGAAATATTCTGCTTTATATATTGCACATTCTTTTGTTAATGTTATTATTTATATTTATAAATTAGATTTTTTTTATCAAAACGCTTTTTTTAGCTTTTTTTTCTAAAAAGGGGTTGTGGCTGAATCGCCTAATTAGTTTTCAAATGCAGTTTTATTCAACTTCTAACTTTCCGACATGCACAAGTGATATATCAATCGAAAGATAATAATGCAAAAAAATAAGATTAAATGAAAATAAAAAAACGATAGGTTTGTGATTTTAGGGGTACCAAGTCCTCTTAAATTGGTACCATGTCTCCTTAAATGGGTACCACGTGATTTGGGTGAACGTCAAATGTTAAATCAAAAGTCACTTGTTAAATTATGCTTCAACATCATAAAAGAAAATAATTTTTATGTCGAATTGTGACAGATGGGAAAAAATGGATTTATTTTGAAAACCTGAAATGGAAAAAAATCGTTGCTTTCTCCTGGCGAGGCTGGTTTTCCAACACCAATGCCAAATCTTTTCGGCAAGAAGACTATGCTTTGTATCTGGTGGGACCACGGCGGTATTGTGTATTATGAACTCTTGAAGCCCGGAGAGACCACGCTTTGATCGGAAGAAGACCGGAATGGGTTATAAGACATGGTAAAGTGATTTTCTTACACGATAATGCGCCATCTCACTCAGCAAAACCAAAGAAAAACACCTTGAAATTGCTTGGATGGGCATCCTTCTACACCCGCTGTAATCCTCAGACCTAGAGCCATCTGACCATCAGCTCTTCGCATCAATGGGGCTCGCCGAGCAGCACTTCAGTAATTTCGAATAAGTGGTAAAATGGTTCGAAGAAGGATTTGCTGCAAAAGAAAAGCATTTTTTTCTGGCATGGTATTAATAAACTACCTGAAAGAGGGGCGAAATGTGTAGAAGCCAATGGGCAATATTTTGAATTTAAAAAAAAATAATTATCCTTGAAAATCACGTGTTTTCTTTACCAAAAAACCGGAATAAACGTATGCATGTACCTGGTATTGATGAGATCGAGAGAAATTTATTAACATATTTGGCTTTAATTACTAATATTTATACTACTGTATTTGCCTTTAGATATAATAATGCTCGTTCTACATACATTTAATGAAAATTTTCTCAGATTTTAAATGATTAATTTTTAAATGTGTAGTAATTAATGAGTTTTGCTTTCATTTTTATTATGGTCACGTGTATGAGTTAAAAGTTAAAAGTTACAAATCTGAAGAACAGCATGTGAAAGTTGTTTTTAAAACCATGTAAAATCATTTAGCAATGTTGGCAAAGAATTTTAAAAAGTATTTTCTGGATGAGGACAACTTGGTAGCAAGTTACGAGTGGATTAGGGATCTATTTCAAGACACTCCAGAAGGGCTCTCAACTTCCGAAGAAGAAATCTTCATAGATTTCACATCCAGTAAAAAATTAAAAGAAAATTTTGTAATGAATCGCTCTTAGAATTTTAGATAGACGTTGATGATGGATTATCTGTACTGAAAACAAAAGAACTTCGTATACTATTAGCATTTTCAACATCCTACCTTTGTTAAACCGGATTTTCTGCGATGGCTGCTTTGAAGACAAAATATAGATCTCAGCAAAATATAGAAAAATAACTCAGATTGACAATTTCTGATATTAAACCTTCCTTTGAAAAACTTTGCTCTATAAGACAAGCCCATGGAAGTCCCTAATAATTATTAAACTTGTTCTTCATTTAGAGTTAAGAAATTATTTATAAAATACCTTCTTTAGTACTGACACATTAAACGTATA